CAGGCCTGAGCTCAAGACCCATGACTGACCAAAAACAAAAATTACAAAAAGTTCTTTAAATACTTTGGCTATTAATCCTGTCTTTCCATCCAGTAGCTTTGATTAACATGCCATGCTTTGTAGCAACTTTATCCTTTAATTTCATGGTGCACATGCATGTGGTGTGCATGTGTGCATGCATTAGGGCTTATACTTAGGGCTTCAATCTCTGGCTGGGCTTTTTTACTCAAGGCTGGCACTCTACCACTTGAACCATGCCTCTACTTTTGATCTTTTGCTAATCAGATCTGAGTCTCTTGGATTTGTCTGCCTTGGCTAGATTCTAGTTGCTATCCTTGGATTCCTGGTGTTTTTCTGTCTTGAGAAATCTTTCCCTATCCCAAAGTCATAAAGATCCTCTAAATCCTAATATCCAAATGCTTAATATCTAATTCTCTAGTCCTAATTCTCTCATCCTAATATCTAGCAATCTTCTAAATACCTAATTTCCAAATACTCCCTGTGCAGTTGAGGCCTCATGCCGCCAGGATCTGATTTCCACACCCCAGGTGCTATCTGTGTAGATAACCTACTACCTTACAACGGCGAGCTTCTCTTTCCTGCCCATCTCCCAGCTGCCACAGCCGTCACGTGCACTGCAGCACTAGTCAGTCTCCCTTCCTAGTGCCAAGCAAATACCACATACTCCATCAACTGTTCCAGTTTTAGAAAAGGGGTTTATTATTGGAATAATTGGGTTTGCTTTTCTTGAGTCTTCCACATGATTCTAGAATTAGTAATTGTAAATTCCACTAACACCTTTTTAAAATTTTTTTGCAGTATGGAACTCAGAGATTTTGACGTACAATGCATACATGGAGTTTAATGGCTTTCAAAATGGAATTTTCTCTATACAGATTGTATTACCTTTCACTAGTAATATTCTTGGCAATCTTTTAAATGTGTCCCCCCTCCTCCCCCTCCTCATCATGGGGCTTGAACTTGGGGCTGGTGCTGTCTCTTGAGTTCTTCTGCTCAAGACTAGCATTCTACCACTTGAGCCACAGAACCACTTCTGGTTTTCTGGTGGTTAATTGGAGGTAGGAGTCTCAGGCACTTCCTTGCCTGTTCGGGCTTTGACCCTCAAATCTCAGACTCCTGAGTAGCTAGGATTACAGAGGCATGAGCCACCGGCACCAGGCCAATGTTTTCATTTTTGAATGGTGGTCCTGGGGCTTGAACTAGGGGCCTGTAGCCTGGCCCTAAGCTTTCTCAGGGACAGGTTGGCACTCTACCCCTTGAGCCACAGATCCATTTCTGGTTTTTTGGTTGTAAATTGGAGGTGAGAGCCCAGGCTGGCTTAAAACCACAATCATCAGATCTTAGCCTCCTAAGTAGCTAGGATTACATTGCCGATATACAGAAAGTACACAATTTTTTCATGTTGACCTTGTATCTAGTCACTTGGCTGTAATTGCAATAGTTCTAATAATTTCTAGATTCTTTAGGGTTTTCTACAAACAATAACAACTGATTATGACAGATTTTAAAAAATTATTTCTGGGGGCTGGAAAGGTGGCTCAGTGGTAGAGTGCTTGCCTAGCATACATGAGACACTGGGTTCAATTCCTCAGGACCATATAAACAAAAAAAGCTGAAAGTGGTGCTGTGGCTCAAGTGGTAGAGTGCTAGCCTTGAGCTGAAAAGCTGAGGGCCAGCGCCCAGGCCCAGAGTTCAAGCCCCATGACTGACAAACAACAAAAAAAATTATTTCTGCAGTACCAGTGATCTAACACATTCACAACAACAAAAATTATTTCTGCAGTACCAGTGATCTAACACATTCTTTTGTACATGCTTGGCAAATACTTGATGACAGCAGTTTTTGCCCATCCTCTCCAATGCTTAAACTTCTCAGATTTTCTCATTGTATTCCATGCTTAGCCTCTCTGTGTTATTGTGTCAGTATCCCTCATTAAAATGTTGAAAGACAATGGTGACAGTTTCTACGTGCTGGTGCTAATTTAAGACACAGATTTCTAGTGTTTCACAATTAACAAAAGATTTATCAACAGTGTAATTTTCCTTATTGAGAAAACTACCTTTTTTCACAGTTAGCTATTTTTTTTTCTTAATGCACAAGTGCTGTTAAAGCTGGACACTACAGTAACAAAAAACAGCATGGTATTGGCACAAAAACAAACCCAAATGGAACAAAAAAAAAACCTCTACCAAAATAAAACCTCACAGCCAGAGCCATCTGACGCTTGTCAAAGAAGGAAAAAAACATATATTGGAGAAAACAGCCTCTTAAATAAATGGTGATGAGAAAACTGGTTATCCCAGAAGACTGAAACTAGACCTAAAATTTTCACTATAAAACATCAACTCCAAATGGATCAAAGATTCTAAGCCCTGAAACCTTAAATTTACTACAGGAAAAGAGCGGGAAAACCCTGAAAATCATAGCACAATTAATTATTTTCTGAATAGGATTCCAAGGGTCCAGCATGTAAGAGGAAGAACAAAAGGGATTACATCAAATTGAAAGGCACATCCATCCATCACCAGAATGCCCCCACAGAATAGGAGAACATCTCTGCCAACTATTCAAAGGACAAAGAACTAAGATTCAGAACACACAAAACGCTAAAAACAAAACAAAAACTAAAGAACAAATAACCCAATTAGTAAGAAGAAACACAAATAGCTACTAGATACATGAAGAATTACTCAACAATCTTTAGCCATAAATGAAATGTAAATCCAAACTACACCAATGCTGGGCAACAGTGTTCATGCCTGTAATCCTAGCTACTCAGGAAGCTAAGAACTGAGGATCGTGGTTCAAAGCCAGCCTGGACAAGAAAGTCCCTGAGACTCCAATTAACTGCCAGAGAACCACAAGTGGTGCTGTAGCTCAAGTGTTAGAGCACTCGCAGCTCAGGGATAGCGCCCAGACTCAGCGTTCAAGCCCAAAGACCGACTGGAAAAAAAAAAAAAAAAAACTACATCAAGATTTCATCTCATCCCATTCAGAATGAGAATCAAGGAAATAAACTAGGCACTGGTAGCTGACATCTAATTCTAACTACTCAAGAGGCTGAGATCTGAGGACCAGGATGCAAAGCCAGCCCCAGTAGTAAAGTCCATGAGACTTTTATCTCTAATTAAGAACCAAAAAATGCCAGAGCTCTGGCATAGTGATACAGCACTAGCCATAAGCAAAAAAGCCAAACTTCCTGTGTTCTAGTTTTGCTAGGTAAAGCCAATTGCGATTTTTTGTTTGTGCTTATATGGCTTGAACTCAGGGCCTCATGTTCTTAGCTTGGTTTTTTTCCACTTGAGGCTGGCACTCTAGCAACTGAGCTACACCTACACTTCTGGATTTTTGCCAGTTAGAGATAAGTCTCATAGACTTTCTGCCTTGACCGGTTTTGAACCCAAATCCTCAAGTTTCCTGAGTAGCTAAGATTACGAGTATGAGCCACCAGTACCTGGCTTTGTTTTTATTTTTAAAATATGATGCAATTTGCTCATGCTTACTTTCCATTTTTCACATTTAATTCATAATTCAGTCTGCATTCATTTTCTTTCCTTACATAGTTTTGGTAATAAAAAGTTACTATGGTCCCACAAAATGAATTAATGTGTATTTTTAGGAAGATTTTTTTTCCCTTCGGAGAGAAGTCTGCACTATGTAGCCCAGGCTGAAATAGCATAACTATGCAAGGCAAGCGCTCTACCACTGAGCCACCTTCCCAGCCCCTGAAATAGCATAACTATGTAACCCAACCTTAGGCTTCCAAATGCTGGATTACAGACATTTCCTACCACTAGGCTTTTGCTCAGTTTGGTAGATTTACAATATAAAACCACTTGGGCTTGGTGACACACCTGTGAAGCTTATTCATGAAGTTATATTTGGTCATGAACAGTTACGTGGTCAATTTTTTAGTCCAGTTCTGTTCATTCTATTTTTGCAGGAACCTTACCATGTCATTCAGTTTTCAAATACATTCATAAGAAATTGTTCATAGAATCCTTTTATCTTTTTAATGTTTATACAATCTGCAATTTTGTCTTTTTAGCCTTGTTTTTTCCCCTCTACCATGGTCAGATGATGATCTATTTTTCTTACAGCACCAGCGTCCTTATTTCAGGCTCCTACATGCTCGCTTTTTGTTTTTTGCCAGTACTAGGGTTTGAATTCAGGGTCTGGGGGCTATTCCTTAGCTTTTCTGATCATGGCTGGCATTCTACTACTTGAGTCAAAGCTCTTGGTGGTTAATTGGAGGTAAGGGTCTCAGGCTTTCTTTTCTGGACTGACTTCAAACCATGATCCTCAGATCTCAGCCTCAGCCTTTCTGTCTTTGGCAGCTGGCTTTTACATTTTTTTTTTTTTAAATCACTAACTGCTTGGTAACTTAACTTTGACATTTGCCCAGAGGGAAAAGTCCTCTTCCTTTCCTATTAGTCCTGGAAATTATCCCAATTTCTTGCATGTAAGCTCAGCAGTACATTCAAAGTATACTTTGAGCCTCAGAAATCTCCACAGGGTCCCCTCAGCCCTAGTATAGCATTAATAGAACCTTATTTGTATTTGTTATTACTGTCAAGTTAAAAGGGAAGAAGAATTAAGTCTTTATGTGACTTTTTTGTTGTTGTTGGTTATGGGGTTTAAACTCTGGGTCTGGCTGCTGTTCTTGAGTGCTTGCTCATGGAACCGTGCAAGTGCTCTACCACTTGAGCCACAGCGCCACTTCCAGTTTTCTTGTGGTTAATTAGAGATAAGAGTCTCATGGACTTTTCTGCACAGGCTAGCTTTGAACTGCAATCCTCAGATCTCAGCCTCTTGAGTAGCTAGGATTATAGGCTTGAGCCACTGGTGCCCAGCTATGTGACTTTCTTGGGGGGTCCAGTTGTGGGGCCTGAACTCTGGGCCTGGGCGCTGTCCCTCAGCTCTTCAGCTCAAGGCTAGTGCTCTACCACTTGAGCCACAGCGCCACTTCCGGCTTTTTTCTTTTTGCTTATGTGGTGCTGAGGAATCGAACCCAGGGCCTCAGGCATGCAAGGCAAGCACTCTACCACTGAGCCAACTTCCCAGCCCTATGTGACTATTTTTTTAATGTGACTTTACTAAAAGAAATCTAAGCCCAGTGCAAGTGGCTCCAGTCTGTGATCCTAGCTACTCAGGAGGCTGAGATCTGAGGATGATGGTTCAAAGCCAGCCTGTGCAGAAAAGTCCATGAGACTGATCTCTAATAACAACCTGAAAACGGAAAGTGGCTCTGTGGCTCAAGTGGTAGAGTGCTCAGCTTGAGCTGAAGAGCTGAGGGACAGCGCCCAGGCTCAGAGTTCAAGCCCCACGACTGGAGGAAAAAAAAAAAAGAAAAAAACAAATCTAAATATATATCATCAGTATAGAAAATCAGACTATTTATAATTTACAAATGTACAGATAAGCACATTTCAGGACATTAGAAATTATTTCATGCAACCACAGGTCCAAGCATGACTCAAGACTTTAATATAAAAAGTTATTTATTTAGGTGATACAAATAAATTTTTGTAACGTTCTGATCTGAGATCAGCATTACACAGTATGGAAAAAGAGTAATAATATAATGTGCACTCTCTTGAAGTCATTCTGTCAAAGCATGCCAAACTCACCTGAATTCCCATCCATTTGGCATACACTGTCCAAAACTTCCTCATCACCTTCTGCAGCAATGTACGCCCAAGTGTCAGTTTCATCTCTGGTATTTTTCTTTTCATTAGGTGAATACTTGCCTTCCTTCATTTTACAATCTTCTGTGGTTTTACAATCCAGTGACACTTCTTTTTTCTGATTAATTTCAGGCACATCATTTTTTTCTTCTGTAGTTTTTTTAAGCAAATCAAATGCACTTTTGATTTCCTTAATTGCTAGTGCTAAAATTGTAAGTAATATACAGTATAAGTCATAAGTTTATTTTATAATCAAAAAATCTATTAGTATTAAAAATACTAAATTTTTTTTGGGGGGGTCCGGTCGTGGGGCCTGAACTCTGGGCCTGGGTGCTGTCCCTCAGCTCTTCAGCTTAAGGCTAGTGCTCTACCACTTGAGCCACAGCACCACCACAGCACCACTTCCGGCTTTTTGTTTATGTGGTGCTGAGGAATCGAACCCAGAGCCTCATGCTTGCAAGGCATGCACTCTACCGCTGAGCTACCTTCCCAGCCCCGCTTACTTTTTCTTTTGTCTCTCTCTTTCTCCTTTCCCATTTTCTGGTAGTTACTTGGAGATAAGAGTCTCACGGACTTTCCTGCCTGGGCTGGCTTTGAACCACAACCCTCAGATCTCAGCTTCTTGAGTAGCTAGCATTACAGGCCTGAGCCACTGGTGCCTAGCTACTCCCAGCTTTTCTTTTTTGTAATACTAGAAGTTGAACTCAGAGCCTTATGCTTGCTAGACCAGCCACCTACCATTTGTGTCAAGTGTTGATTATTTCTGAGGTAAAGTCTCACAGTATGGCAGTGCTGGCATGGGTTGCAATCCCCCTACCTGTACTTCCCTATTTCAATGTAGATGACAGTCATATGCCAACACGTCCAGCCACTGGTTGAGGTAGAATTTCTCTCTCAAGTTCTTTGTTCCCAGGCTAGCCTCAAACCATGATGAATTGGCTACCTCCCAGATAGCTAAGATCACAGACTTGAGACCACACACAACTTTTTTTTTTTTAACTGTAGATCTAAGTTGGTGGCATCGGGCAGTTTTACCAGTAACATTGTCAGTGTTCTGCCACTTGCTATTTATTTAACTCAGTCCTTGAGCTATTTCTGAAAGAATTCCAGGATACACTTGTAGATAAGACTCATGTCTTTGGCAATAGGTGGTTAGTGGTATCACTAGAATAATTCTGAGGCTCCTACCAGAGTAATCCTTTTTGTGTATGCCTGTACTAGGGCTTTAATTCAGGGCCTCAGCTCTGTCCCTCAACTTTTTTTGCTCAACACTGGCTCTACCACTTAAACTATATCTCTACTTCTGGATTTCTGCAGGTAAATGGAGATAAAGAGTCTCATGGACTTTTCTTTCTGCCTGATGATCCATCCTCAGTCTCAGGGACTAGAAATATATATAGATATAGATAGATAGATAGATAGATTTAGATATATATAGCTAGAAATATAGTTGTGAGCCACTAACACCCAGCCTCAGAGTAATCTTCTGTCACAACTTCAGGGGAATAGAACACCTGGTCAATCAGCAAGCTTCCCTCTGGATGCTCTATAGAGATAATATTTTAAATATCAAATCACCCTTTGAAATACAGTGGCTATTAAGATCTTTCACTGCTTTGAACAGATTTAGTCCTTAGGTTATAGTTACCTAAGGCATTATCCACTGAAAGCCACTGCTTTTTCTTTTTTCTTTTCTTTTTGTTTTTTGGGTCCGGTTGTGGGGCCTGAACTCTGGGCCTGGGTGCTGTCCCTCAGCTCTTCAGCTCAAGGCTAGCACTCTACCACTTGAGCCACAGCGCCACTTCCGGCGTTTTTCTTTTTGTTTATGTGGTGCTGAGGAGTCGAACCCAGGGCCTCATGCATGCAAGGCAAGCGCTCTACCACTGAGCCACCTTCCCAGCCCGAACCACTGCTTTTTCTTAGCTACTACTGCTCTAATAATTTACTAGAACTGCCAAGAGCAGTCAAGGTGTAAGACAAAATTATAGTCTTTAAGTCTGCATATACAGCTCAGTGGTAGACTGCTTCCCTACCACGCTCTATGTTCTATTCCCAGCACCACCACTCCCCCCTCACAAAATTGCTAGTGAGTACCAGTGGCTCATCACTGTAATCTTATCTATACAGGAGGCTAAGATTTAGAGGATTGTTTGAGGTCAGAGCAGAAAGAAAAGGCCCAGACATTCTATCTCCAAATAACTAGCAAAAGACCCAGGTTGACCTGGTACCAGTGGCTCACACCTGTAATTCTAGCTACTCAGGAGGCTGAGATCTAAGGATTGCATTTGAAACCAGCCTAGACAGGAAAAGTCCAAGAGAATCTTATCTCCAGTTAACCACCAAAAAGCTGGAAGTGGAACTGTGACTCAAGTGGTAGAGTGCTAGACTTGAGCACAAAAGTTCCAGACAGTGCCCAAGCTCTGAGTTCAAGCACCTTGACCAGCAAAAAACCAAAACAACAACAAAACGTCCAAGTGTGGTTCAAATGGTAAAAAGCCTACTGTGCAAACAAGCTGAATGTGAGCCTCCTGATCAAGTCCAAGTCCAGTACTGGCAAAAACAAACAAACACTACCAAAAACATACAAATAATATTGAAAGTTTACGTAGTAATTCAGCTAAAGCCTTTGTGACAAAATCCAGGAAAAATAGGAAAAATAGGGGTTGGGAATGCGGCATAATATTACAGTGCTTGCCTCGCATGCATGAAACCCTGGGTTTGATTCCTCAGTACCAAATAAATTGAAAAAGCTGGGGGCTGAGAAGGTGGCTCAGTGGTAGAGTGCTTGCCTTGCATTCGTTGAGGCCCTCGGTTCAATTCCTCAGCACCACATAAGCAAAAAAAAGCTGGAAGTGGTGCTGTGGCTCAAGTGGTAGAGCACTAGCCTTGAGCTGAAGAGCTGAGGGACAGTGCCCAGACCCAGAGTTCAGGCACCATGACTGGCAAAAAAAAAAAAAGAAAAAGCTGGAAGTGGCGCTGTTGCTCAAGTGGTAGAGCGCTCAGGGACAGTGCCCAGGCCCTGAGTTCAAGCCCTAGGACTGGCAAAAAAAAACAAAAACAAAAACCAACTCCATAGGAAATTATGTGTTTCAATACTTTTGCCTTATTTAACGACAGTAATGTTAATTTCTAAAGTAAAGTATTTGGTTCTAATAGTGACTTGCCAAATGATAATTCTTAATTATCATTTATTTTTAAGTGATCCAAAACTATATTCAATGTTGTATCTATACAAATGACAGTTAAGGGCAATTAATATATTACACAAAATTTTATTTAGCATGCACTCATCCTGTCTAGCACAATTATGACTTTGTAATTTCAACTTATGGTATACTATATATAATCTATATATAATTTAAATTGCTATACAGGTAGAGTATCCCTAAAAATCCAAAATCTGAAACTTTCTGAGCTTTAATATGATTCTACATTGAACCTCATGTGACAGGTCATAGTCAAAACTCCTGAAGGCCATGTGGATATGGTCTGTATAAAACAAAAATTAATTTCATGTGTAGATTTGGTTCATAGCCACAAAGTACCTCACTATGTAAAAGCAAATATTCCAAAATCAGAAAAAAAGGCAAACTCTAAAGTACTTTTAGTACTAAGCATTTCAGGTAAGGGATAGATATTCAACCTTTATTATTAAATATATATAGCTAAAGCTGTAAATTCCCTCAGCAAACAAAACTCTTAAATTCTATGACATTTCAGGTTAGAAGAGATTACTTCAGCATAAACTCAATTCCTTATATAAAGAGATATGGGGGGCTGGGAAGGTGGCTCAGTGGTAGAGTGCTTGCCTTGCATGCATGAAGCCCTGGGTTTGATTCCTCAGCACCACATAAGCAGAAAAAGCCTGAAGTGGTGCTGTGGCTCAAGTGGTAGAGCGCTAACTTTGAGCTGAAGAGCTGAGGGACAGCACTCAGGCCCAGAGTTCAGATCCCACGACGGACATAAAAAAAAAAGAGAGAGAGAAGAAGATATGGGAAAATGTTAGTATTTGTACTTACTCCTTAATCCCTTCGGCTCTTCCTGACCTTTTTCTTCCTTGTCTAAATCCGTTTTTTTCTGAGATTTTTCTTTGAGGTCATTTTTTGGGGCCTCTTTTTCCTAAAGATATAAGATCCACAAGAAGATTGGGTGAAGAGCTTATACAGCCTATTTGGACATGAAGAAACACTGGTTAGTAGCATCAACATTTGTCTATGTAAACTAGAGTACCTGACTGCTGACACAAGATCATAGCTTACACATCTAGCTTACACAACATCATATTCAAAACCCAATGTCTCCAATCTCTTTTAACAATTGTTATTAAATATACAACATTTGAATATAACCAAACTTCTTTATTTACACAAAATGTCATAATGAAACACACCATTATTATTCATTACATATTTCCATACGCTAAAATAAACTGCCAATAAAGTTATAAAATATCAAATTTTTATTTTATTTTACTTTTCTTTTTTTTGGGTCTGATTGTGGAGTCTGAACTCTGGGCCTGGGTGCTGTCCTTCAGCTCTTCAGCTCAAGGCTAGCAATCTACCACTTGAGCCACAGTGCCACTTCTGGCTTTTTTCTTTTTGCTTATGTGGTATTGAGGAATCGAACCCAGGGCCTCATGCATGCAAGGCAAGCGCTCTACCACTGAGCCACCTTCCCAGCCCCTCAAATTTTTAAAAAATTCATGTAATCTTACTGTAAGCTGATTATTTTATTCCACACTCCTTTTATCCTTATAACTTTGGAGATAACTCATTTTAACTTACATTGCATATTTAACTTATATTACATTGTTTTCCATTTCTTAACTTTTCCCCATAGCTCACCGACTATTTTTCTTTTTTTTTTGGTCAGTTGTGGGGCTTGAATTCAGGACTCGGGTGCTGTCCCTGCGCTCTTCAGCTCAAGGCAAGCCCTCTACTGCTTGAGCCACAGCACCACTCACAGACTATTTTTCAATAGAACAAGTAATACTGTCATACTGTTTTTCTTTTGTGCTGGTCCTGGTGCTTGAACTCAAGGGCTTGGTGCTGTCTCTGAGCGGTTTTTTTTTGGGGGGGGGTCTATTGTGGGGCTTGAACTCTGGGCCTAGCTAGTCCCTGAACCTCTTTGTGCTCAAGGCTAGTGCTCTACCACTTGAGCCACAGTGCAACTTCTGGTTTCTGAGCGGTTAACTGGAGATCAAGAGTCTCACAAATACTTTTCTGCCCGGGCTGGCTTCCAACCTGAGCCTCCTGAGTAGCTAGGATTATAGGTGAGAGCCACTGGTGCCTGACTTGTCTCTGAGCTTTTTTGCTCAAGGGTAGCAGTCTACCACTGAGGCACAGTGTCACTTCTGGCTTTTTGGTGATTAATTGGAGATGAGTCTCATGAGCCATTAGCACTTGCCTTGTTTCCCCTTTTTCCAGACTCATCTTACTATATATGCTTCCTCCTGTTTGGAGCTCATTATGTAGCCCATACTGTCCTCAAAGCCATAATTCTTTTGCCGCAGCCTCCCAAGTGTCAGGACAGATTATAAGAAATTCATCTTGGTGTATGTGTGAGCCAGTACTGGAACTTTAACTCAGGGCCCGGGCTGTCCTTGAGCTTCTTTGCTCATGAGTAGCACCCTACCACTTGAGCCACAGCTCAAGCTCCACTCCTGGCTTTTTGGTGGTTAACTAAGAAATATGAGTCTCTTGACTTTACTGCCAGGGCTGGCTTCAAACCATGATTCTGAGATCTCAACCTTGTGAGTAGCTATAAATATAGGTATAAGCCACCAATGTCCAGAGAAGTTTATTTTTTTATAGCCTTTATTTTCATAATCCTAAACAAATGAGACAAATTATTAAAAGTTTTATAAGAACAAAAAGGTTTATAATGTAATGCATTGTGTAGTTCTAATTAAAAAGTGGTATATTAAAATGAATATAAATGGATATAAAAATAAGCTCATGAAACCATAAACAATCATAAGCTCATGAAACCATAAACAATTATACAATGAATGCTACATTATCACTGAGTATCTCTAAAAATATTCTAACTCTTGATAAATTAGCCTTCTTCTTTTTTTTTTTTGGGTCCGGTCGTGGGGCCTGAACTCTGGGCCTGGGCGCTGTCCCTCAGCTCTTCAGCTCAAGGCTAGCGCTCTACCACTTGAGCCACAGCCCTCCGGCTTTTTTCTTTTTGCTTATGTGGTGCTGAGGAATTGAACCCAGGGCCTCAGGCATGCAAGGCAAGCACTCTACCACTGAGCCATCTTCCCAGCCCCTAGCCTTCTATTTTTTAGTCCTATTTCACCTAAAAGAAAATTACATTGGAGCCAGGAGTCAGTGGCTCATGTCTGTAATCCTAAGCTACTCCGGAGCTGAGATCTGAGGATCACCGTTCAAAGCTAGCCTTGGCAGGAAAATCCGTGAGACTCTTATCTCCAATTAACCATTAGAAAACCAGAAGTGAAGCTGTGGCTCAAGTGATAGAGCACTCCCCTTGAGCTGAAGAGTTCAGGAACAGCGCTCAGGCCTAGAGTTCAAGACCTGCAACCGACAAAAAAAGAAAAAAAAAAAAAGTTAAGTTGGAGACTTAAGGCTGGAGGGCCAAAGGCTAGAAGATCTTCAGTACTGCTACCTACCTACCAGTAAGTCACTCCCTAATAACGACTTCAGCAGTACTAATCTGTACTGAACACTCCTGTACTACTCTAAGTTCTCCCTAAAAGATCTTACCTCCTCTACTGAGTCAGATGGCTGGAGGATCTTGTCTTCACCAGCAGATCTAGAAGTCTTCTGTGTTTGGGCAGACAAATATGGCATTAATTTATCTAATTCTATGTCACTTGGCTTGATTCCCTGATTCCTCTGCTTTTTAGGCACAGTTTTCTTCTCTGCAAAGGTCTTCTTGTTTTCTAACATTATGATCTCTTTCACTTCCTCAGCCTTTTTCAGTTTCTTTTTTTTCCTCTTGCCTTTGCCATTATCATCTTCATCCGCACTGACACTGTCATTCAGTTGTTTCTCAAAAACACCATCTTGATTTGCATCCTGCTCTACTCTATCTTTTGTACTTTTTAGTGTTTGTTTCTCTTCTCTGTTGTCTGGAGGAAACTCTTCCTTATCATCCTCAGTAAGTGTACTTGATTCAGATTCCAGCTGACTGTCAACACACTTCTCTTTTTTTGTTTTTCTGTTGTCTTTGGGATCTTCTTTTACTTTATTCTTTACATCTCTTACATCTGCCTTTTTACCTTTTCTTAATTCCTTAGTTTCTTTTATTTCATCTTTTCTGGTCTTTTTGGAGTCCTTTAATTCTTCTTTGGCTTCCAAAGTTCTTTTCTTTGTCCTTAAATCTAAAACTGAACTTTCAGCGGCACTCCCCAGCTCTGATTTCACTCTCAGTTTGCCAGTCTTTGTTTTTCTCTTTTTCAGACCATCCGGGCTTTTATCTTCTTTGGACCTTAATTTCTTTTTCTTCCTCCTTGGGGAAGAATCTTCTTTTGTTTCACTTTGCTGATCACTATCAGAATTTGCTTCAAATATGTCGCTATTTAAAGACAATCTCTAGAAAATACAAAAAAAAAAAGTTAAAACACTAACAATTTTAAGAGTTTTGAAAAGCAGCATAATGAAACCTGGTGGAAAACCATTCTATTTATTTATTTACTTATTTATTTTGGTTGTCATGGGGCTTGAACTCTGGGCCTATACACTGTCCCTCAGCTTTTCAGCTCAAGGCAAGCCCTCTACCACTTGAGCCACTGGCTTTTTCTGTTCATGTGGTGCTGCAGAACCAAACTCAGAGCTGCATACATGCTAGCAAGCACTCTACCACTAAGCCATTTTCCCAGCCCAGAGAAAGTTATTTTGAGCAAAACACAATATACTCACATCAGAAATACCATGGTGAAAACCTCTGGTGCAATTTTAATATGCATTAAAACAAAACAAAATAAAGTAGTTGGAGCTGAAGGTCTTCTTTGATCTTCAATATTACACCCTTCCCCCAAATGGTGAACTGTTTAATTTTAACTGGTAGAGAAAGGTAGTTAAGACAGGTTAACAAGAGATTAAATATGAAAGCATATATTCTGTCAATGACATACTGAGCAATATTTTCCAAGTATACTAAAACAAGTTGCTCACATCATCTTGGACAAACAAATGAATTTACGATACATCTTTCCTTTCTCTTCCCCTTTCCGTTCTCTCTTTTTTTGGCCACTACCAACCAGGGCTTGAACTCAGAGACAAGTTGACCATGTTCAACTTTGTTCAAACTTGTGTTAATTTAAGCCATATGCTTTCCTTCACTTTCATGATTTTTTTTGGACAGTCCTAGGGCTTAATCTCAAGGACTAGGCACTGTCCCTGAGCTTCTTTTGCTTAAGGATACCACTCTACCACTTGAGCCACAGTGCCACTTCCAGCCTTTTCTCTTTATGTGGTACTGAGGAATGGAACCCAGGGCTTCAGGCATGCTAGTCAAGCACTCTACACTAAGCCACATTCCCAGTGGCCTCCCCGCCTTTTTTTTTAACAGTACTAAAGACTGAACTTAGATACACAAGTGGTCTATCACGAAGCTACACCCTCAGTTTTTCTGTCTTACCTTTCACATAAAGGAAAATATTAACTAATTTATCTTTCATAGTTTGGATGCTGAGTGTCTCCCAAAGGTCTATGTGTTTAAAGGATGGTGTTACCAGGAGGTAGTGGGACTTTTACTAGATCAGGCCTAGGAGGAGATCCTTAGGTCATTGGGAAGGTATCCTCAGAGGATTAGGGACCCTCATCTCTTTCAGCATTCTTAGCTTATGCACATAAGGAGTGTGCCATGTGCTCCCCAACACTGCCAGCCAGCATTTCTACCAGAGGTATACACAAAAAGAAAGCAATGAGTCTGCTGGATCTTGAACTAGAACCTCCAAAATAATGAGCCAATTTAAACCTTTTCTGTGTATAATTTAATTATCTCAGATTTTTTTTTTTTTTTTTTTTTTCGGTCGTGGGGCTTGAACTCTGGGCCTGGGCGCTGTCCCTCAGCTCTTCAGCTCAAGGCAAGCACTCTACCACTTGAGCTACAGCGCCACTTCCGGTTTTCTGGTGGTTTATTGGAGATAGGAGTCTCACGGTCTCTCCTGCCCCGGCTGGCTTTGAACCTCGATCCTCAGATCTCAGCCTCCTGAGTAGCTAGGATTACAGGCGTGAGCCACCAGCGCCTGGCTATCTCAGATTTTTTATGACAGTGTTAGTTGAGTGACACAACATTCTTCTATGCTTATTTATTAACTTATTGTAGGTTGGCTATGAGAACAAATAAGCAAAAATCATTGAGAGCAGTCTATATAAAACTTTTACTAAGTGCTACTATAAACTTTATTTTAGAAATGTGGCTCAAACCACATAAGTAGAATGCCTACTTAGTAAATGCTAGGCCAAAAGAAAAAAGAAAAAGAATGAGAGAAAAGTAAAAACATTCTGTTGGAATGTTCTGTGTGCTGGTAGCTCATACCCGTAAGCCTACTCAGGAGGTTGAGATCTGAGGATCACAGTTCGTCTGTGAAATGCCAATAATCCTCCAATAAACTTCAGAAAAAGCCGGAAATGGTACTGTGGTAGAGTATTTGTCTTGAGCAAAAAGAAGCTCAGGGACAGTGCGTAGGCCCTGAGTTCAAGCCTCAGGAGTGAAACAAAAACAAAGAACAAAAAAAAAAAAATTTTGTTGGGATACCAACAAGAGGTGGGTAGACAAACAGAGGGTGAATAATGTGACTGAAGAAGGGGAAAGGGAGTGAAGAAGAGTGATAGAGGGGCGAGTTTGAATGGGATACGTTGTATATGTTGGGATACGGAAATGTCACAATGAAACTACCATTTGGGAGGAGAATGATAGAAGGGATAAAAATGGGCTGGGAAGGTGGCTCAGTGGTAGAGTGCTTGCCTTGCATGCATGAGGCCCTTGGTTCGATTCCTCAGCACCACATAAGCAAAAAGAAAAAAGCCGGGAGTGGCGCTGTGGCTCAAGTGGTAGGGTGCTGGCCTTGAGCTGAAGAGCTGAGGGACAGCGCTCAGGCCCAGAGTTCAGGCCCCACGACCGGACCACCCCGCACCCAAAAAAAGGGATGAAAATGACTAAAATGAATTGAAGCTGGTCACCAGTAGCTCATGCCTGCAATGTTAGCTACTCAGGAGGTTGAGATCTGAGAATCACAGTTTGAAATCAGCTTGGGTAGAAATATCTGTAAGAATCTCATCTCTAATTACCCAGCAAAAGAAGCCAGAGTACAGGTACGGCTCAAATGGTAGTGATAAAATGCTAGCCTTGAGAGAAAAGCTAAGGGACAGTGCCTAGACCCACAGTTCAAACTCCAGTACTGATACATACACTAAAACGGGTACTGTAAACATAAAGTGGTATGTTGACTTGAAACCAACACATGTACAACTACTTAAAGATATTTAATTTTTTTTTCTTTTGCCAGTCCTAGGGCTTGAATTCAGAGCTTCTTTCACTAAAGGCTAGCACTCTACCACTTGATCCATAGCACCACTTCTGGCTTTTTCTGTTTATGTGGTACTGAAGACTCGAACCCAGGACTTCACGCATGCTAGGCAAGCACTCTACTTCTAAGCCACAGCCCCTAAATATTTTTTTAAAACCCCACTGCTTTTATACAACTAAGTAAACTATTAAGAAAATCATTTAAAAAAGAAAAAAGAAGATGAGGTAAAACACAATACCTGAATATCCTTTTTGAATGCTTTAGCCTTGTTCTCTGAAACTTCCTTCTTAAATTCAAGAAGAACTTCTTTACAGTCCTCCAGGTGAATCTCAGGTTCCCAGGTGTCATCATCTGATGTATATCCCTTCCATCGAACTTTATAAAGGATCTTACCCTGTGGGATAATTAAAAACAGGCTTATTGCTGACTATGTTGCTAAGAATGTATAACTGCTGAGAACTTGAAAACTGCTTCAAAATGGAAATATCACATTATTATGCATATTTATACCTCTCCTGAAGCAAATGCCTTATGGAAAATCAGTATCACTTAACCTATTTTTTCCAAATCAAAGACCGAAGTGTTTTTTCTGATTATGTAATACTGGAAAAACAACTTAAAAAAAAAAGAACAAAATGTCACTCAAAGATGGTAATCTGGTTGAGTTCCTTCCAATGATTGCATTACCATATATTGGAGGTTTTAAGATATTTATTTACTTATTGTCAATTATGGGGCTTGAACTCAGGGCCTGGGAGCTCTTCTTGAGCTTTTTCTGCTCCAGCATAGTACTCTACCATTTTCAGCCACAGTGCCACTTCTAGTGGTTAACTAGAGATAAACTCACAGACTTTGCTGACCAGGCTGGCTTAAACTGTAATACTAAGATCTCAGCCTCGTGAATAGTGTGAGCCACAGGGTTTGGCCCATTTTTTATTTTTGACTGACTCAATTTATATATATATATATATGTTTATTTATTTATTTATTTATTTTTTGGCCAGTCCTGGAGTTTGAACTATGGGCCTGGGCACTATCCCTGAGGTTCTTTTTTTTTTTGGTCTGGTCGTGGGGCCTGAACTCTAGGCCTGGGCGCTGTCCCTCAGTTCTTCAGCTCAAGGCTAGCACTCTACCACATGAGCCGGCTTTTTTTCTTTTTGCTAATGTGGTGCTGAGGAATCGAACTCAGGGCCTCTGGCATGCAAGGCAAGCGCTCTACCACTGAGCCACCTTCCCAGCCCATCACTAGGTTTCTCTAGCTAAAATCCATGATAGTTTGTGTGATTCTCAGTGTTCGTACACATGAAAAAAATCTAGATACCTTTGAGCATAAACATACTTAATCCATATTCCTGGAGGTTTTGATAAGATTGGTCTTAGAATAAAAAGATTTTAAGGAATTCTAATGAATAGTTATTTGCTAACTAATAAATACATAATTTTAGCTGAGCACTTCGTTTCACACCTGTAATCCAGCTACTTAAGAAGCTGAGATCTGAGGATTGTGGTTCAAGCTCTACAACTGGCCTCCCTCCACCCCTTTTCCCTCAAGTGTGTGTTTGTGGGAGGAGGGGGGGGCTTGGGTACTGTCCCTCAGCTCTTCAGCTCAAGGCAAGCACTCTACCACTTGAGCCACAGTGCCACTTCCGGCTTTTTTCTTTATGTGGTGCTGAGGAATCAAACCCAGGGCCTCAGGCATGCAAGGCAAGCACTCTACCACTGAGAGACCTTCCCAGCCCCTCCCTGAGGTTCTTTTGCTCAAGGCTAGCACTTTACCACTTGAGCCACAGGCCACATCAGACTTTTTGTGAGACTAATTGGAGATAAGAATCTCAGGGCCTTTCCTTCCAGGCTGGCTTTGAACTAACTACAAACCTCAGATCTCAGCCTCCTGAGTAGCTAGGATTACAGGCATGAGCCACTGTTGCCCAGCTTACATAGTATTACCTTCCTAATACCTTAAATATAAAGTATGAATTTTAAGGTCAAAGAAATAGATCAAATTATTATCTTTGGGGGCTGGGAAGGTGGCTCAGTGGTAGAGCGCTTGCCTTGCATGCATGAGGCCCTGGGTTCAGTTCCTCAGCACCACATGAGCAAAAAAAAAAAAGCCGGAAGTGGCACTGTGGCTCAAGTGGTAGAGCACTAGCCTTGAGCTGAAGAGCTGAGGGACAGTGCCCAGGCCCAGAGTTCAGGCCCTATGACCGGATCCAAAAATAAATAAATAAAAATTATTATCTTTGGGTAACTTATTACTTAAGGAAAAAAACAAGATTAAAAATTAGAAACAATACTGTATGAGAGGCTTTTAAGAAAAGCTTTTAGAACCTATGTCAATCAATACCTATGCAAAATATCTGAACAAGAGCTGACCGGCTGATTGCTAAGTTTTCTTGAAGAACATCTTTGAAGATCTTAAGTATTTTATAGAAAGCAAGCCATCTGTCTTTAGTCTCTTTCTGCATTTATGGGTTAATCTGTGTTGATATCACTTGGACCTGGATTTGAAACACAAATCTTAAAAATTTGCTATCGATGACTTAGAATGACCTGAATTTGATGATAACATTATTTTTCTCTTTCTAAACTTACTCATTAAACTCTTATGAGAGAGATTACACTTAAAACTGAGTAAATTGGGCTGGGAAGATGGCTCAGTGGTAGAATGCGTGCCTTGCATGCCTGAGGCCCTGGGTTCGATTCCTCAGCACCACATAAGCAAAAAGAAAAAAGCCGGAAGTGGCACTGTGGCTCAAGTGGTAGAGCACTAGCCTTGAGCTGAAGAGCTGAGGGACAGTGCCCAGGCCCAGAGTTCAGGCCCCACAACCGGACCCCCCCCCCCAAAAAAAAACTGAGTAAATTATTACTGTGAAATAATGCCTAAGTAAAAAAACAAGAAAAATATTTTTTTCTTTTCTTTCTTGGTTGTGGGGCCTCAACTCAGGACCTGGGCACTGTCCCTGAGCTACTCAGCTCAAGGTTAGCACTCTACCACTTGAGCCGCAGTGCCACTTCTGGCTTTTTCTGCTTATGTGATGCTGAGGAATCGAACCCAGGGCCTCATGCATGCGAGGCAAGTACCCTACCACTGAGCCACCTTCCCAGCCTCTATAGTACACACTTTTTAACAAAAGTATTCAGAAGGCTGGGGCAGAAAGATTGGGTGTTTGGAGGCCAGCCTGGGCTAACAAAATTACAGGCAAGGGAAACAATAGAATGTTAAATTCAGGTATGGATTGGACTTTCAAGCTTACCATATAGTTACAATCATAATGTACAAATTTTTAAAAAGTATAGGTTATTGGGGACCTGGAAAGGAGCAATACTTGGTTTTGAACTCAGGGATCTCTATTTGCGAGCCAAGCCTTTGGGGTTTGTTTGGCTTTTTGTGTGTGCTGGTACTTGCAGTCCAAACTCATGGCCTTGAGCTCTCACTGGGCTTTTCGATGGTTAACTGCTAAGAGTCTCATGGACCTTACCCCCAGGCGTTGGCTTCAAACCTGATCCTCAGGTCTCAGCTTCCTGAGCAGCTAAGGATTACAGGTTTTAGCCACCAACCGCCTAGCCCAAACCTTTAGGTTTTAAGGGCTCTTAACCCTCGCTGACTTGGTACGACTGGGATTTTATGCTTAGAACGCATGAAACTCCTTATTTTTAAGTCGTGTAATTTTGGTTTTAGAAAACACCGTAACGATGGAGAGTACACTGACTCTTTTCTGGGCTGCTCCCAGGCCCTGAGTTCAAGAAGCGTTCGTAAACATCGCACATCTGACTTCCAGAGTCGGCGTCTGGCACCTTTTCACGACCCGCCCATCACCTAAGCGGTTTCACCACCGTCTAAAACTTCCCGAAGCATCCTTCGCAGACAGGGCGAAGGCGGGTCGACCGTTTCTCTCCTGGCCGCGAGTGGGCAAGCCCGGCAGGCTTAGTGCGGCGGCCCCGGCGCTCCCCGCCCCGGCCTGGCCCTCACTCCCGGACCCCGCGGCCCTCCCCACCCTCCCCTGCCGGGGCCCTCCGTTCTCCTCCCGCACCCAAACCCGCCTCAATCCTCCCCGCGCGGCCCCGCACGCCAGGCCCTGCGGTCACACGCACCGCCTCGGTCTTCATGTCTAGAATCTTCTCCACCTCGAACACATCCTCTCCGTCCTCCTCGCTTTCCCCAACGGCCTCCGCTTCTTTCGTGGCTGCGTCCTCTTCGCCAGCTCCGCCATCTCCCCCTTCGACACCTGGCCACTCACCAGAGCTGTCGGGCCCTGACATAGGTGCTGCGGCCGTGCTCGCGCCCTCCACACTCGGCGCCTCGGTCGCCATCGCGGTGGCTCGCCAAACAACCGAGAAAAACAATCTACACCACCTTAGAGCAGCCTCGTGCTCCGCGAGCACCTCTTAACCACTACTGCGGAGTGACACGGCCTTGAAGAACATTAGCCAATGGTGGACTCGGAGCCCTGGAGTGACACGTACACTACCCAATCACGTGAAGGCGGTGAGCCAGAGCCACGCGGAGCATACGGGAAGCGGGTGGGCCGGCCAGGGGCGCCCGGGGCGGAAGAACGCCACCGGGGGCGGGGCGGGAGTGGGTGGCTGGGCGGGAGTGGGTGGCTGGGCGGGAGTGGGTGGCTGGGCGGGAGTGGGTGGCTGGGCGGGAGTGGGTGGCTGGGCGGGAGTGGGTGGGGCTACCGCCCGGCCTGGCCTCCGCGGATGGCGAGGGTGGGGTGGCATTGCGGAGTAGCTCTTCTACGGGAGTCCGCGGTAGCCTACTTCCTGGGCGGCAGGGGGGTTGGGGGGGGGAGGAAGGACTTCCTCCCGCGGATCGGATTCTCTGTGGGGGGCCTCGGACCAGCGGAGCACCGGAACAATGACCAGGAAGTCATCTGTATACATGCACATTCGCTCGACGTGTTTATACTTCACCTGCAGCTTGTCTGGTTTAGTACTGTTTAAAGAGCAGGACGTTTGGCTGTGGGTGACTTCAGAGCCTCTGCTTGCAAGCCCAGAGTTTAAGCCTCAGTTCCACCAAACAAAAAAAGTTAAGACTAAAATCAAGTGAACTTTTTTTTGGCTGGTTCTGGCACTTGAACTCAGGGCCTGGGTCCCGTCCTTGAGCTACTTTTGCTCAAGGATGGCGCTCTGAGGCTGGAGTCACAGCGCACTCCCACTTTTGGAGTATCCGAATCGTTTATTGGAGATTAGAGTCTCCTGGACTTTTCTGTCCAGGCTGGCTTCGAACTGCTATCCCTAGATCTCAGTTCCCTGAGTAGCTAGGATTATTGGCAGAAGTCACCAGGGCCCTGATCTCTTCTCTTCCCCGCTTATAAACCTAGCTACTTAGGAGGCTGAGCTCTCCTCAACCTGGTTCCAAGCCAGCCTTGGCAGGAAAGTTTTTGAAAGACTCTTATCTCCAGTAAATCACTCCCCAAAATCCAGAAGTGGAGCTATGTATGTGTGGCTCAGCTTTGAGCAAAAAAGCTGAAGGACAGCATCAACGCCTTAAATTGAGTTCAAACCTCAATACCAGCACACACACACACACACGAAGTACTTTTTTTGGGGGGGGGGGGTCCGGTAGTGGGGTCTGAACTCTGGGCCTGAGCGCTGTCCCTCAGCTCTTCAGCTCAAGGCTAGCGCTCTACCACTTGAGCCACAGCACCACTTCCGGCTTTTTGCTTATGTGGTGCTGAGGAATCGAACCCAGGGCCTCATGAGTGCAAGGCAAGCGCTCTACCACTGAGCCACCTTCCCAGCCCCACACGAAGTACTTTTAAGATATGCCTGTTTTCTCGCAACAATCACTTGGGCAAGGTGAAAAGGGGTGTTTTTCTACTATATGCTCCAGTTTAGATCAAGGAGAGCACACATTGTGTTTATAATTAAGTTATTCATTAATACAGTGTTCGTTTGTTTTTTAGCTCCTGGTTTTTGAGTTCCATAGCCCATTTTTCCTACTCTATCCTGTTTCACTCGTACTTAGCAATACTTAGCAATTTAATGGTGTTTAACTTTTTCTTTCTTGTTTGTAAGGTCCATTCCTGGACGGCGAACAGACCTCGCCCAGTACCTGCGTTACCTAGGCAACTGGGATACCTGGAAGAGGTCACATCCGCATCCGCTGAGGTCACATCTTAACCTGATGTGGCCACACCTTTCTCCCACCTGACCCCACTTCCCTTTACCTGGACACACCCTTCTGCACCCCCTACCCTATATAAGGAATAAACCGTGGCCAGACCGCCCTTTTTTTTCTTTTCCTTTGCCAGCCGCGTGGAGTGCCAACCTTGCCTGGTCCCAGCAGGTCTACTGAATAAACTCCTTACCTGAATACCACGTGCGTGGTGCAGTTCTTACTCGGTTACCTCTTTTTAAAAACCTAACATTGTTTACTGATGAACTCAGGCCCTAGGTGCTGTCCTTTACCGCTTGAGCCACACACCCATTTCTGGGTTTTGTGGTTAAATGAAGATGAGTCTTAAGGACTTTACTGCTCTGGTTGGCTTTGAACCATGATCCTCAATCTCAGCCTCCTGAGTAGCTAGAATTACAGGCACAAGTTGCCACCTTTTCATCCTCCTTTTATCCAATTCCTTAGTACAAAGAGTTGAAAGAGTAAGCAGAAGCAGTTTTCTTTCTGTCAAAGAGATTACAGCCACTGAGAGACTTTAAGTGGCAGAATGATATCACTAGGTATATATTTTGGATCAGTATGGAAACTAAATTGGAGGGTTTAAAGACAGGAAGCTTAATGAAGAGATATCAAAATGTTGGTACTTGTTCTACCTACTCTGGAAGCTGAGGTAGGTAGATCATTTGAGGCCACAAGTTTGAGGACAGCCTGAGAAACACAGTAAGAGCCTGTCTCTCTAAATATAACAAAAATAAAATTATTCAGATGGCATTGACTAGAAGTAAAGTGAAATGGATATATTTGATAGCCATTAGTGAAGTAAAATCAAGAATACATGGTTAATTTGATGTAGGGAGAGAGTAATGAATGATCTTTATTTCTAGTTGAAGCTGTAGATAGGGTCATGGTTTTACCATTTTACTGGATAAGGAATATTGTAAAAAAGCAGGTTTTGATATTCATATGGTCCAGTTTAGACCAAGGAGAACACACTGTGCTTATAATGAAGTTATTCATTAATATACTGTTTTTCTTAGCTCCTGGTTTTTGAGTACCATAGCCCATTTTTCCTAATCTATCCTGATTATGTCTTACTTAGCAATACTTAGCAATTTAATGGTTCAAGCCAGGATGCTGTTCTTGAACTTTTTCTGCTCAATGCTAGTGCTTTACACTTGAGCCACGGCTCCACTTTTGGCTCTTTTTTTTTTTTTTTTTTGGTAATTCATTGGAGATTACAGTCTCATAAATTTCTCTGCCCTGGCTGGCTTTGAACTGTGATTCTCAGATCTTAGTACCTGAGTAGTGAAGATTAAAAGTGTGAGCCACCAGTACGCAGCCAGTTTTGATATTTTTAAGAAGTAACAATGAATATTGATGTAAGTATGACCCTCACTCCCCCTGCAAAACACCAATTTAACAATAATAGATGGACAAAATTACCTTCAGAGATTGCATCATCCAGATGGACACAAGGCCAAAAAGAAATTCATTGAAGCAAGTAAGAATGTTCTTGGTATTTCACTTGTCTTTGTTAAAGAAAAGCAAGGACAATTTTGTTCTTAACAGCAAGGGCAATGGAGATTTATAAATAAGAAGCAGGGTGTGGAGCAGAAGATGCAAAGTTTATATGAAGAGATCTTAAAGCAAGAGAGAAGCTAGCCATAATGGCATACACCTATAATCCTAGAACTAAGACCGAGACAATAAGTGTAAGGTCCGCTCCTGGATGGCTAGCAGACTCCACCCTCCTCCCAGCAAAGTCTCCACCCAGTACCTGCGTTACCTAGGCAACTGGGACACCTGGAAGAGGTCACATCTGCATCCGCTGACGTCACATCTGAATTTGATGTGGCCACACCTTTCTCCGCCCGTACCCTAGATAAGGCCTAGCCCAGGCCCAGACGCTCTCTCTCTGCTCACTCTCTGCTCTCTGTGCTCTTTCTGCTCTTTTCTAGTTCTAGCTCTAGCTCTCTCTCTCTGCTCTTTTCTAGCTCTTCTCTTTTCTAGCTATTTTCTCTCTTTTCTAGCTCTCTCTTAGCTTTTTCCCCAGCTCTCTCTTTCCCAGGCCTTTCCCCACCACATGGAGGATCAAGATGGCCTGGTGCCAGCCTGAACCAGCCGCGTGGAGTGCCAACCTTGCCTGGTCCCAGCAGGTCTACTGAATAAACCTACCCCTTACCTGAATACCACGTGCGTGGTGCTGTTCTTACTCGGCTACCTCTTTTTAAAAACCTAACAATAAGAACACAATTTCAAGGCCAGTTTGGGCTACATTGTGTGAGACCATCTCTAAACAAAACCAAAAATGGTAATAAAAGAAGGTTTTTATGTGTGTTTCTGTGTAGATGTGCCAGTTCTGAAGCTTGAACTCAGGTACTAGGTGTTGTCTCTGAGCTTTTTCTCTGAAGGCGAGCACTCTACCACTTGAGCCACATTTCCACTCCCAGCTCTTTTGGAGGGGGGGGGGCGGAGCTCAGGGGTAGTTAATTATAGATAGTCTTAAGGGCTTTCCTGTCCTGGCTAGCTTCGAACCCCAACCTTCAGATTTCTTCCTCCTAAGTAGCTAGGAATACAGATGTGAGCTTCCAGTGTCTGGTGAGATTTTGGAGTGTGTGTGTGTGTGTGTGTGTGTGCTGGTACTGAGACTTGAACTGGTGTCCTTTAGTTTTTCATTTAGTGCTAGTGCTCTACCACTTGAGCCACACTTCCCTTCCCAGCTTTTTTTTCCTGGTTTATTGGAGATAAGAATCTTAAGGACTTTCCTGCTTGTGCTGGTTTTGAACTCTGATCCTCTGATCTCAGCCTCCTGAGTACCTAGGATTACAGGTTTAAACCTGACTGGATTTTGATGTCTGATAAAAGTGAGTTGACTGGGTTTATGTTGAAGGCAGGTCAGTATGGTTAAATCTCAATGGAGCTGGTGGAGGATGATTAACTATTGAGGAGGATAAGGTAAATGGAGAGTTCATACTAATTTGATTTAGCAAGAATCTTGTTAAAACTAAGATGTAGTTTTGCGTCACAGAGATGAACACAAAAGCTTTTCAAGGTGTAGGCACTGTTAAGCAGAGGGCTCAGTGACACCCTATTCAAGATCGGGCCAAGACTTTTACTCTAGCCATTGTGGTGTGACTAAGAAAAAATTTCCCTCTTTTCCTTTGGAATGAAATAGAGGGAGCCATATGTCTGATGTTTAAGCTTTTGAGGAGATCTTCTTGAGGAGTAAGTTTCAGTCTTTCATTCTTTCCTGATTTGGAGTGCAATCCAGTTTTTAGGTTCACTATG